ACTGACATGCAATTTTGTAAATCTACTTTCCTCATTAGTCTATCATTACTTTTTAATGTTTTTCTTAAAATAAGCCTGAAACTTTTGCAGGTTATAAAAAACTAGCAGTCAGCAAAAATCCAGCCACAAATGCAATCACTTTTGCTGCTTTAAGTAAATACCATTTGGAAAATCATTTCTTACTGAAGGAAAAAACCGCTAGCTAACAGGTTAAAAATAGTACAATCAGTGAATTTATTATTCCAGAATGTGCACAGTGTATTACTGTCTTGTCTCTGGGCCTTATAGAGAATGCACACTTTGTAACCATGTGGACAAGTACAGTAAAAGCAAAATTCTATTTTATTCGTCTGTGACCTGTCTTACAAATGACCCCATGTGCACTTTCAGGATTTATTAGGAAAGGATTACAAGTAACACAATCATGCAAGGTGTCAGTCATCCTTCAGTTTTTTGTTGTTTTTTTTTTTTTTTATGTAAATCCTCTAACAAGTTAGTCACAGTTCAGAGAGTCCACAGTCTAAAGAACCTGCAAGTTCTTCAAAGGCAAGTGTTCTCAGAGATGGAGGAAAGTGTTTTATTTAGGCAGGTAGATTTACCCAAGATCAGTAATTTCACTCTGATACCACTCTAACCTGCTCAAACAAAAGGCGATATAAATAAAACTTCTTCCACTTTGAAATCTCAAAACAGATGTGTTTTTGTTCAATCTTCTTGGCAAGTCAGGGACTAGTTTGTTTTTCCCTGTGGCAAAAACTACTGGAGGCTGGAGGATTGCAGCATCGAGTCCATCGTTCTCTGTTTCGTGAAAGAAGTACCAGCAAATAACGTGGCATGTAAGCTGGTGTAGGAGCTATGGCAAACAGTATGGCTGTTCCTCAAAGCTGAGCCTAAAATTCCATATGAGCCAGCAATTCCTAGGTTTACACTTGGAGAACTGGAATCAGGAGCTCAGGCAGACACAACATTCACAGCAGTATTCGTCCCAATGGCTGAAAAGTGGAAAACCCAAATATCCATTGATGGAATATTATCCAGCCTTAAAAAGGAAATTCTGACAGATGCTACAAGGGGAACCTTAAAAACATGATGCTAAGCAAAATAAGTCAGACACAAAAGGACAGATTGTATGTATTTCACCTACATGGGATACCCAGAGCAGTTGAACCACAGAAAGTAGAATGCAGGTTACCAGATGCCTGAGGGTGGCAGTTACTACAGGGTGGGTACAGAGTACCTGCTTGGGATGACGAGTTCTGCAGGTGATGACAGACAGTAGTGATGCTGCCTAACACCATGAATGTACTTAGCGTTGATCAATTGGATACTTAAAAATAATATACTTAAGGGACAAGTAGATGGTGTAACGGTTACGTCACTAGATTCCCACATGGGCAACCGTGGTTTGAGTCCCAGACCCAATGGCTTCAAACTCACACAAGGCCCATGTGCGTGCATGCCCAAAATCCCAAGAGGAGAATGGAGAAGGGATTGCAGTGTGGCCATCCCCCTTGGGGGGTGATTTCTCACTTTCTCTCAATCTCCAGTGAGCACATGTGCCCTATACCAAAAATCTCTTTAAGAATATATTTTGGCTAAAACAATCATTTTTATGTTATTTTACAACAATAATAATAAAAAAAGGGTTTGTTTTGTTTTGCTTTGTTTTTGAGAGAAGAATTTTTGCCATAGGATGCTTACACTCCCTAGAGAGAAAGAGAAAGTGAGAAATCATTCCCCCCGGGGGGATGGCCACACTGCAACCCCTTCTCCATTCTCGTGGGATTTCGGGCAAGCACCCAACATGCTGACCTGTTTCAAGCTGCTGGGTCTGGGACTCAAACCACCATCAACCATGTGTGAATCCAGTGCCTTAACCACTATGCAACCTGTTGGTCCCCAAAACCAACTTTTATGATAGCTTTTAGTTATATCTATTTGAAACCTGGACCTGCTATTTTTCAGCAATGACTCTGGGAAAATTACTTAACCTATCTGTACCTGCTACTTTCCAGCAATGACTCTGGGAAAATTACTTAACCTATCCCTACCTCATAGAAGATTAGCATGAAAAGGAAGTGGTGGGTATAGGGTATGTACATAGCAGACTACTACTCAAAAAGAATGGTTGCTATTTGAGCAGCTCTGGAAATCAGACAGATAGTAATGTATTATCACAGAAAACAAGAATGATGAGAGATGAGACAAGCCTTGAAATGTTAATATGCAGAGCTTGGTAACAAAGAAACTTGAAAAGGGGGTGGGAGACAGTCGGCTTTCCAACAGTTCACGAAAAACTCTCAGATGTGGAGGACTTTATGTACTAAAAGTTCAGTGTGAAGACTGTGATAAAGAAGCTGGGAAGACACTGCAATCGTAGGACCCCACTGGCAACCTGGTTCCCCATCACTTGTTTACTCTAAGAACACTCTTTATCACTTGTTTACTCTAAGAACACCCTTTCAGATACATGAATGAACAAGAGTGCTTCCACAATAGTGCTCCCAAGAGCGATGGTCTTTGAAAGCCATATAACACGAAGATTGGTCTGGAGAACAGAAGGCTTCCTGGGAGAATGAAGGATGGACTGGAGATAATGGCATCATAAATTAACAATGTGAGTTACGCACAATGGAACAGGCTTCACGTGCTCCAGAGGAGGCTGACTAACCTCTCCTTCACTGGATTTTACAGAAGCCATTACTACACAGAAGGGAGGGAGGGGCAGTAGAACTAGTGACCTTTAAAGGTATGTGCCTTCTAAGAGTCTATGAGTCTAAATTTACAATGTTAAACGTGGGATTTTCCAGAAGACATGCTACTATATAAAGACAAATGCAAGTTACGTGCAAACTAGACCCAGGCACACGACCAGTGTTCTTTATACACGTGCAATGCAGTTCTAGCGAAAACTTCTTGGGATAACAAAATTAGTAATCTAAGCAAAAGTACTACTGCTTTCTAAAGCGTTTTGCTTGCTTTTTTCCAGAGGTTGCACTTGTCTGAGAGTAACAGAGAGAGGGAGAAAGCACCCACCTATGAGGTGCAGTCTCCCTAAAATTTCTTCTCCACTTCTCCACCCTGTTGGGCTTTGGGACACATACACTCAGATGCCCAGTGTGTTTTTCGAGCCACAAGGACTGAGATTTGAACTGTGGTCAGCTATGTGAGGTCTGGATCCATTAACTACTAGGCTACAGGGCTGTCCCCCGAAGTGTATACTTGTAATTTGCAAATACATTGTAGGTAAAAAGGAAGAAACACACTTAAAAACACACAAGCACAAATAAAACAACTTTAATAGATATTATTTTGTATTTATATAGCGCCTTCTTCAAGAACCTTAAATGCTTTACAGACATTATCTCTAATTATCCCCACAACAACCCTGTGAGGTAGGTATTACTCCCATTTTACAAGCAGGGAGACTGAAGCACAGAGAGGTTAAGTGACTTGCCCAAGGTCACACAGTTAAATTCAATGAAGAGCCAGGACCTGAGCACCTTAGCCTCCCAGCTCCCAGCCAAATACCTCATAAGAGAATCTTTAATGAAAAGTATCTTTAAACAAAGTATCAAGAGTAGTATGTTATGAAAATGAGGTCTTTCTACTGCCATCAAGGAAAGAAAAAAACCTACACTGATGGTTAGAGGCTCCAAGACCCATACATTTCCATCTTTCCCTTTCCCTAAGGTCCCCTGGTTCCTGTCTTAAGTAATCTTCTAAAGGTAAAATTTCAAGACAGAAGCCATGTGACTTAGAAATAGGATTTAATTTAGAATATTTACCTTCAGTTATGATAATTTATAGAAATTTTTATTCCAATATACAAAATATGGGACAGTCATCCCAACAAACATGTACATAGTTATACAGCAATCGGCCACCATTTACAACTTAAACCTGCCCCTCGTTTTAATTATAGGCAACCAACCTCACAACTGCTTTCTATCTGGGTCACTTTTCTTACTTACTATACCTGTACTTTTTCTCCCAACTCTAGCCCTATATATTTCAAAAATTTACTGAGTTTTTGATAAAACTTTAAAACATTTGACTTAGATCCAGCTGCACTAAGAGTAAGAAGTAAATTTGGAACCATTACCCCATAGTCCCTCCCCTGACAAATCATACTATTAATTATGGTACAGATGTGAACCAAGTATGTGACTACAATGGAACTCAACATAAATGAAACTTGCTTTAAAAGGAAATTTAACTTGGCTTTTACTGCATATTTTAAATGCAAAAATGTAAAAACAAACATGACATAGTATTTCAACGCTGTACCTTTATGCGAATGACTTCATCTAGCCTTCTTCCACATGCTATGGCCTGGCTGATGGCAAGACTGACTCAGCCTCGTTGTACTGAGAGCTGCAGAAACACAGCGTTAAGTTCCAGGGCTATATGGGTCACGCCTTCCGAGTTAAAGCTGTGTACCCACTTCCACTGCTGACGCTCCCCGTGTTCTTGGCTGTGACTCTCTGTGCAATGCTGTATATCAGGCAGATTGTGTAATTTGTACAAAACGCCTCCAGCCAGCGTAAGGCTTTAGGAACTGTATCTTAAAAAGCAACTGGTCAAAATACTTTTGATATTTAGTACAAATACTAAATGTAATAATTTTCTTGCGGCACATCTGATTAGGCAGCCCAATTAGCTTGTGACCCTGTTAAAGATCTGTTTGCGGAACTAATAGATGAAGTCATTTCCTGAGCTAAAAGATACAGATAATAAATGTTAATAGCAGCAGACAAAAAACATTCTTTTTGTTGTTTTCCACAGTCAACAGTTTTAGTAAAATAACTTCAAAAAAATTACAGAATTAAAAGAAGAAAATACTGCCTGAAAGAGCTTGAAAAAGAACATCCGAGGCCTGATTGTTATTATTTTCAATGTTTTCTGCAAGTTACATTCTGCCACTGTCAGACAACTTACTGATGTGTGGAAAAATGTCAACTGCAATGGTTCACATACATTTTATATTACATATATTACTTCTTAAAACCTCCAACAGAAGGAAATCTTAATAAACACAAATTTTAATGTCTGAACAGTCTCCCAATAAGATTTGAAAAGGCAGAGGGAGGAAAACAAAGGACTTGCTTTTTGTATTACTGGTCTACTTCATTAAAATTTAATCTCAAAAGGGTTTTTTTTTTTTTTTTTTTTTAAGCTTGCTGTCCAGGCCGCTAGGGTTATGATGAATGTATTCTTTCCAGGGTAAAAAAATGACATTTAAAAATAACGTAACAGCTATGACATGAATTTTCCAAGCACAGCCTCAACCTGAAACATTAGAATGTGTAAGAATTCTAGATTGGTATACCATCACTGCAACAGGATTTCCTTTATCATTCTAAAACTACAGGGAATTTTTCATAGCTTTTTAATTTTATTTTACTGAAATTAAAGCTGGAAAAAAATAACTGACTTATTAGCTACAACAAAAGGACAAATATTTAGCCAGAGATATCAGTTCCTCCTGAAAAAGAATATTTACCTCCTCTTGTTGCAATTTTTCTCAAGGTGTCTTACCGATTTCAGATAGAATTTAAAATTCACCTTAAAAGTAGAAACAAACCAAAGGACTAGTTAAACTGACAAGAACTAATAAAATATGCTCAAATTTACTGACAGAATCATGGGCACTTCATACAATACTTAGACTCTACCAGTTTTAAGTAAAATAAATAAGGAAAAAATTATAATTACAAAGCCAGTCTTTCCCCTTGGGGAAACAAAAAGCCACTTCTGACCAATTGTTCCCTACATATACATATACTGTATATTATTATAAGCTTCTTCAGAGAAGCAAAACATATTTGTCTTCCTGACATTGGATTCTAGTATCTGTTAGTTTTTTTTGTTTTTTTGTTTTTAAATCAGGAAGGCAACTGCAAGTGTTGGGCCCAAAAATATTTCTGGTTTACGCTTGAAAAGACCACTGAATATGTTTCTGTACGTACTGAACACAGGCAATTTCCGCAACGTGCTCAGCACCATCTCCTTATATCAATACCACCCAGCACAGATTCTGATTCTTTCTACTGCACCCCAAGGAGTTCAAACTGTTACTGGTGCAATTAATAAAGAGGAAATGCGTGTCAATGACTGGAAGGCTGTTTTACAAGAGGAGCTGGTATCTCTGATTTCACTTCTTTGTTGTATGAAACCACACAGACAGCATGATACCTGAGCAAATAAATCAACTACCATGACAGGAAGGGCCTGTTAATCCATAGTCTTTGCTTCATCATGTGCAAAGTGTGCTACTGCCCCCTGAGCTTCCTGCATTTCTCTTTTCTTGAAAAATCAGTGCTTGATCCTTTCCAAAATAACCAGAGAAGAAATGAGGCAGAAAGTATCTCTTCATCACCGTCCCCCCTCAGTCCCGAGACTGGTAGAAAAGAATGTAACCAGATTCAGAGTTCTTTGAGATATCTGATGTCAACCCGTAGAATTCTTCAATAGCTTGTGCATCTATTTTCTGTAAGGCAAAATCCAAACATTAGTACATAACTGAACTTTGTACAACCAGATGGCTTAAATAAAAAATACTGACAATATCAAATGCTGATGAGAATATGGGGCAAGTGAAAATGCCATATACAGCTTGTGGGAACATAAATGATACAGACAATTTGGAAAAAAATCTTCTAAAGCTGAACATACAACCACCCTTTGATTAATTATATTTCTAGGTATGGGTTGAACTGTAAGAAACTACTAACTGCCAGTCATTTCAGATCTCCAAAAATGGGATTTCCAATGGCTCATCTCATTCAGACCCAAGGAAACTAAATGTATGTACGTATAGCAAAAGATCTATACAAAAATGATGAAGGCACTTTTAGTCAAAAGTCAAAAATTGACAAAAAGTCAAATTTATAACTTGATATATCCATACCATAGAAATTACAAAGCAATAAAAACGAATCACTCCTCTTCCTCTACTCTACTATAGGCAATTGCAAGAATGAACATCACTAATAAAGACTAATGAGTGAAAAGAGGCAGATATTAGACAAAATTAATCGTAACGATAAAAATCCTAATGGCGGGCTCCAGGGAATGCAGGGCAGAGGTGAGGAGAGCTGTGGGCAGTAAGCAGGACAAAGAATGAGGAAGCCTGTTGGGGTGTTGAAAATGCCCTGGGTCTTGATTTGGTGGTGGTTAAAAGTGTGTGTGTGTAACCATCCATTTATAAAAATTCACTGAGCTATTCAGATTTGTGTACTTTACTACAGGTATCATATAGCTCATTAAAACACACACACACACACACACACACACACTTTTTTTTTTTTTTAAAGACTAGTCCTGTGCAAGGTTTTCTCTTGTTTGATTATAGACCTGTAAAGGAAGGTTCGCTGGCTACACAAGTGCTGGGCTTGAGAGGGACACTCACTGGGACATTAGGGAATGAGAAGCAGGGACTAGATGAGCTACAACAGAAATACCGAAACATGTACTATTCATCATGGATCATAAATAGGGGACTGCAAAAAGTTCATGGGAATAAAGAAATTAAATTATCAGCTTATTTTGGTGCAAGAATTCCATGCACATAATATCCACTTTTCCTAATACCCATTTTCCAGGAACCTTTTAAAGACCTCCCTAGTATGAATGAGAAATGGTGAGGAAAAAAAGTAAAACGTAATACACATACAAATTTTAAGAAAAATAAGAAGAAACTACTTACTTCAACAATGTCATCATCGAACAACAACCAAAAATCATGACTCTTAACTATTGCAATATAATGTCCTCGATTGGGACCACTGAAACAAAATGACAACAAAGTTAATTCTATACGATGTTTATTAATATTAATATTACCCTAAGTGTGATGTTCTATAAAGGAGAAAAACAAACAGATAAAAATATCTCTTATCTATTCTTTCTAAAAGACAGATAAAGCTACACTGATTTTAACTGGCATTTAATTTTAAAATCAAATAATTAGTACTCTGCTTTGGGAGATGTAACCAGTATTCTAATAATATAAAAGTGTGTTATTAAAAATTTTATTGTTGGGACCAGCAGTTAGCGTAATGGCTATGTCGCTGGACTCCCACGTAGTGGACTGCGGTTCAAGTCCTGGACATGGTGGCTTAAACTCATGCCAGGTGCTTGTGCATGTGTGCCCAAGATCCCAAGAGGAGAACGGAGGAGAAGGGATTGTGGCATGGCCATCCTCCTGGGGGGTGATTTCTCACCTTCTGTCTGTCTCTCCCTGTGTGGCGAGCGCACACACCCTATAGCAAAAACCTCTCAAAAAATTTTTATTGTCTTTCTAATTATTTTCAAATTATTGTTCTTTCAAAGAATTTTCCCTTTGCTTCTACGAAAAATTTAAATCTATTTTTCCAGCATTTGGGATGTGATGGGACGCTCGGCCAAACGTGCTGAGTTAAACTACAAAACAACAGGGATAATATTATGTCTAAGTCTCACTCCCTCGTAAGGAAAGATACAATGTGATGTTTGAAAAAGGCAAAGGTAATGGAAGCTATGTCTCTGAAATCAGCCATACACATCTTCAAAAGCAGATGACCTGCGCCCAATGGTTAGGTTCTATCTTTAAGTAGCTAACTGCTAACATCATATAACTATTGCTATGACAGCCTCTACATCCCATTTTAAACAAATCTGAAACAGGAATCTCAAGACCAGCAGCTGGCGTAATGGTTATGTTGCTGGACTCCCATGAGTCAACTGCAGTTTGAGTCCCGGACCCAGTGGCTTAAACTCACGCCGGGCACACATGTGTGTGTGTGTGCGTGCCCAAGATCCTGAGAGGAGAATGGAGGAGAAGGGACTGTGGCATGGCCATCCCCCCGGGGGGTGATTTCTTGCTTTCTGTCTCTGTCTTTTTGGCAAGCATACATGCCCGATAGCAAAAACCTCTCCAAAAAGGGGAAAAAAAAGAATGGAATCTAGATACACATGTTAAAATAACAGTGATAGTATTTCTTTTAAAAAAAATTATGTGCTTTTGGAAACCAGCAGTTAGCGTAATGGCTATGCTGCTGGACTCCCACGTAGTTGACCGCAGTTCGCGTCCCAGACCCGGTGGCTTAAAACTCACGCTGGGCATGTGTGCGTGTGTGCCCAAGATCCCGAGAGGAGAATGGAGAAGGGATTGCAGCATGACCATCCCCCCTGGGGGGGTGATATCTCGCTTTCTGTCTCTATGTCTGTCTCTGTCTGGCGAGCACACACGCCCTATAGCAAAAACCTCTCCAAAAAAAAAAAAAAAAAAAGTGCTTTTCTATGTGTGTATACCATAATTTATTTTTTATTTCAATGAACATTTGGGTAATTTCATGTTTTTATATTACCAATAATAATACTATGAACATGTCTCATAGTACTCACTTTTTTTTTTTTTTGGAGAGGTTTTTGCTATAGGGCATGTGCACTCGCCAGACAGACAGAGACATAGAGACAGAAAGCGAGAAATCACCCCCCAGGGGGGATGGCCACGCCGCAATCCCTTCTCCTCCATTCTCCTCTCAGGATCTTGGGCACGCACACACATGCGCCTGGCGTGAGTTTTAAGCCACCGGATCCGGGACGTGAACCACAGTCGACTACATGGGAGTTCAGCGACCTAGCCATTACGCTAACTCCTGGTCCCATCATAGTACTCACTTTTTCTAAGGTCATAGGAAAAATTTATCTTCTCCAAGTTTAAGTATCATTCATTATAAAAGCTTATAATTTTTATTAAATTGCAATAATATAATTGATACAGAATTTAAAATCATTTTCAACACTAATTATTCTTTACAGTGAACATCATTTTAAAAGTAGCAGAAGTAGGGGACCACCAGTTGGCGTAATGGCTGTGTCGCTGGACTCCCATGTAGCCAACCGTGGTTCAAGTCCTGGATCTGGTGGTTTAAACTCACACAGGGCACGTGTGTGTGCGTGCAGGCCCAAGATCCTGAGGGAAGAATAGAGAAGACGGGACTGTGGCATGGCCATTCCCCTGTGGATGATTTCTCACTTTCTGTCTCTCTGTCTCTGTCTTTCTGGCGAGCACACATGCCCTATAGCAAAAACCTCTCCAAAAAAAAAAAAAAGTAGCAGACGTCGGATTACTAGAATAAACCACCTCGTACAACATTTCATGTTCCTTGGACCTTTCAATCCTGCAGGTGAGATAAATATCTTAGGTGACAAAGCAAAAGTCCATTTTCACTAAGAAGGATGATACCTCAAAGCTTTCTTTTTTAAAAAAGCATTTAATGCTTTAGTAAGTTTAATAATTTTCTCCATTTCTTTAGGATTCATTCTTGGGTTTTGTTAAGTAGAGGACAGAAAAGGGAAACAATGTTTTTTATTATTTTATTATTTTTTTTGAGAGGTTTTCACTATAGGGCGTGTGCACTCGTCAGACAGACAGAGACAGACAGAGAGACAGAAAGCGAGAAACCACCCCCCAGAGGGGATGGTCATGCCGCAATCCCTTCTCCTCCATTCTCCTCTCGGGATCTTGGGCACGCACACACACGCGCCCGGCCTGAGTTTTAAGCCACCGGGTCTGGGACACGAACTGCGGTCGACTACATGGGAGTCCAGCGACATAAGGAGTGAAAACGAAAAACAATCAGAATGGTTGAGGAACAGAGATTGGGAGGAATGGAGGAGGGGTTAGTACTGGGATAAAAAGAAAAAGGTTTGGCAGCTTTTTTCTTTGGCAAAGAGCTAGTATGAAGAACAAAAGATGAAAGTTAATTTTATAAACAAATAATAAATGAGAGGAAAGACTGAGACAATGTACTGACATCTAAGAAACTGTGATTATTAGGAATATTCATCTTGAACATCAAATGTGCTTAGTGTATGCAACTGTTATTTGTGGTGGTTGCGGTGGAGATTAGAAAGACACCAACTACTCCCTGCCCTGAAGACCCTTGTGGTACAGGAGGTAAGTACTCCCAGGGTAGAATCCCAGGCAGAATGTGATACGAAGCAGACCTGCAGGGAAGCCCTCACTCGGTGAGAAAAGGGACGAGGGAGAGGGATGAGCTATCAAGAAAGGCTGGCTCCTCAATGGAGCTGGGGTCTGAAATGGGTTAGAGGATAACTTAACCATTTGGGGAACAGCTGGTGGAAATCTACTACATGCCAGGCCTCGGGGTTGGATCCTGAATAAACTGAACTGGCCCTGGCCTGCTGAAAATGCGATTCCTTAACAGCTGAAGGATGCAGAGAAATAGAAACTCTCCATACTATTATAAAAACACATATCTATAAATAAACCTGATACATGAGATAAAAAATGTAAAATATTAGTCTTTGATTTAAAAATTTCCTGTTGTAAGAAGCACTCATTTTCATAAGGAAAGCAGACACATAAACTAATAAATATAATAAAAAGGAACAAGTGAGGGCTAGCGATGCACATCTAGTGTTTATGTAACCACAAAACATGGGCTGGAGAGAAGATCATCAGGGACAATTTCCAGACAGGAGGGGACAGGGACAATGCACGGGACAACTGGAGTGAGATGGGGGAAGAGTAAGGTGCTGGGGTGGGACAGAGTCCCAAAGAACTGCTGTGAACTCAAGCAGCAGTGAACTCCCACCGAAGGTGCATGGCCAGAGTTGTCAGCAAAGACAATAAGCATCCTCTGCAATTTCTGCAGCAATTCTGACAGTCAGGATTTGGAGAACTGGCACGAGAATTTTACAGTGCTTGAGAGAACATGCCTTAAATAACAGTGGTGGTAAAGTTGGGAGGAAAGCAAGTGAGGCCAAGGAAAAGGTTAAGAAGGGAAAGGGCAGGAGACTAGACTAGAGGCTGTGGGGGAAAGGTAGGGTTAATTTTTTTTAAAGAATTACTTATTTGATTTTATTTATTCATTCATTTTAAAAATTTTACTTATTTTTTATTTGACCAGAGGGAGACAGAGAGAGAGAGAACACGTGAGAAAGCAAGCCACCAGGTCCAGGACTCAAACCATGGTTGGCCATGTGGGAGTGTCCAGCACCTTAATCACCACACCACCTGCTGGTGCCAAGGTAGGGTTAATTTTAAAGGTGGATTTATGTGGGGGGATGGATGGGCTAGAGTTACTTGAATTAGGAATTTCAGAGCTCAAGGACTTATGAATAGAGCAATTCCAAAAGACCTGGCACAATGTAGATAGCGTAAGACTGTCATTAAACTTAGAGACCAATGGTAGTTTTGTTAAAAAAAAAAAGTTAGGATGTTGGAAAGTAATGCTATTATATTATTGTAATTGAAACAGTAGCAGCAGCTAAGTGATTTATATTGTCCTTTTAATCCTAATCACAGAATGAAGTAGTTAATATGATTTCTATTTTTCGGATGAGTAAACCGAAGCTTCTTTCAGGAAGTGACATATGAAGTCACACTGCCCATAAATGGCAGAAATGGTACTGACATGGTTCGAGGTTTCTTTGACCTCTGGTCTGAATCACCACACCAAGTTCTTTAAGTTATCTGACACTGTTTTTGTCTTTGCAAACATCATCACTCTACTCAACTGAGAAATAGAATACTCCAAAAATGGAAAAGGCAAGCCTCACTGTTGTTAATGAAAATGTAAGACAGGAGATGAGGCTGACAAGGGCAATGGGAGTTAAATACTGTCTTCCAGAAAATGTACTCCCTCCTAGCTGTCCTTTCATATCCTTAACAAAAAGACGGCACTTTTTAATTGGATAAAACACACTGTCAGTACAAGTTCCCCAAAACCAAGGGGAAAAGGATGACCATCCTGTTCTAAAATTATTAAAGGGAATACTAAGGAATCCGTGAAGATTATACATTCTCCAGATACAAGTTTTGATTATGTGATGCTCTTGTGGTTTGCGGACTGTTTTATTTTGTAACTTAAAATATATCTATGTGTGTTCATACAGAGCCGACATGTCTACCTTGCTGGAAAGGAGGATGGGAATGAGAAAGCACACTAAACTGGCTCACAGAAATGATAAATACACACACTGGTAAAGTCAGAAGACTCGTAAAGATTATTTCCAAAGCCACGGTAAATGCTTCTCACAACCATTAACATAATGAACATAGTCGATTAATCTCAGAAATGATTTGTTTTCCAAAATCTACTTAAGAAGCATCATTTTTATCAATACGTCCCCTGCCCCCACCCCTGAGAGAAAGGTAATAAAAAACTAATAGATGTTCTAGGAACTCATGCATAATACTTCTAGAGATAACTAAAAAAATAATTTAAAATGAAGGCAGTAAGACATTTTAACATACACAAGTTTTAAGGAAGAAATAATCAAGTGTGTATCTTAAAAATCCATTTTGAAATAAACTCATCTTAAGGGAAATAAGGAACTTGTAAATCTCTACGTTGAGACCACTTGCGAACATCCTGAGCGTGGCTGCTCTAGAAGCCCAGAAACCCGAGACCCAGTGCACCTCCCGGAGCCGCAATTACCTTCCACAGTGCACCACAACGGCGACCAGGTCGTACATCCTGTCAGGATTGGTTGCATCGCCTGAAGTGTTGAACAGACGAAGTTCTAAAGGAAAAACTACCCGGTAAGAAAGTTTTGTATATCGATGAAGTTGATCCATATATTTAAATCTCTTCAGGTGCAGAGCTAGAATCATGGGCAGTTTTTTAACTTTCATTCTATGGAAAATAAAGCAGAAAACAAAATTTCCGATATCTACCATGTCTTTAGAAAATGATCAAACTTTATAACATCCAATAGACAAACAGTTAATAGTGTCAGTAGTCCAGCAATACGCTGTTTTGCATATTGCTACTAATTAGTTTTTTATTGGCAAAGCAATTTTCTTAACATCTTAAAACCACTTGCCCACACGATTTGATGCAGCACTCACGAGGGCTCCAAGTTACATGGAATGGCAACAGTTTGTTGAGAAATTCGTCTTTTTGAAACAGATCTCTTATGGTAAAACTAAATGCACAATGCTCAGGAAAAATGGGCTCCTTGAAGCAGTCAATTCCTTTGGATATGAGTGTAGATTAAAACCCATTTATTTTATCATCAATGCAATGTAAGAACAGATTGACAAGAGGAGACCAAAATGAGACAAGTGTTAAAGACCATTTAAGGGTGCTTGTCAGAGATAAGAGAGAACTTCCTATTAAGAATGATGACTGCGTATAGCCCAGAAGGGGAATCAAACACGGGAACTTAGGAGTTAAGTTTTTAACTGTGAAACACAGGCTATCCTTCACCTTCTAAATAATCTTGATCATGCCCTTAAATGCAATTTCTCTCTGAGGTTTGCTTTGTATGCCTTCCTCATCCAAAGCAGAGTCTTCTTCTAACTGCTCTCTTCAATCCTCCATCAGCACTTTAAGGGTTCACTTTATGGATGTCAAGTTTATTATATGGCCAAAAATGTAGATGATTATGGGTTTTTCTCTTCTTCTAGGCTCTGAACTCACAGCAGGTAGAAACTATTTCTTTTGTTTTTATTTCTCCACTCTAGCAACATGCCCGGTGCACAGACACTTGCAAATGCTGTAGATTTGAATTGTGTATGTGCTCCTTGATCAAAAAGCTTTTCAGAATTAAAGAATAAAACTTTTGGGGGTGGGGGGACCAACAGGTGACATAGTGGTTAAGGTGCTGTACTCCTACATGGCTGACTATGGTTCTAGTCAAGTGCCTATGTGCCCAAAATCCCAAGAGGAGAATGGAGGAGAAGGGATTGTGGTGCGACCATGAGAGTGATTTCTCTTTCTCTCTCTGTGTCTCCAGCAAGTGCACGTTTCCTAGCAAAATCTCTCAAAAAAGTAAATGACTAATGATAATACATTTTTTTTAAAGGGAAGATTTTTGCTATAGGGTGTGTGTGCTTGCCAGAGAGACAGAGACAGAAAACAACAGATCACCACCCCCAGGACAGATGGCCATGCTGCAATGCCTTCTCTTCTGCTTTCCTCTTGAGATCTTGGGCATGTATGTGCCCGGCAAGAGTTCTAAGATACTGGGTCCAGGACTCGAACCACAGTCAACTACATGGGAGTCCAGCGACTTAACCATTACACCATCAGCTGGCTCTAATAATACAATTTTTTAAAGAGGGGGAATAAAGTGTTTATTTAAGTTACAATAACATGTCTAAAGTGTACATCATACTTTTGAAAGCTCTTAACTAGGCAAAAGGGTATGATTAGTCACTGTCCCAGCCACTGTAGGCAAACCCACATTCAACACCAAAGCAGATAGGGACAAAGGGCTGGGCGGGCACTGTCTTCAACATATCTAAAAAATAAAATGTACTAGGTCATTGTCCCCAAGAAATGAAAAAATCATTTTATAGAGTTATGCAAAGGGTATTCAAAATGTTCAAGGAAAATGCCTATTACAAAAAAGTTATGCATGAATTTCAAATCTCTGTCCCAAACTAAGCTCAAACTGTAGCTCCATTTTCCATAGGTTTTCTGAAGTCCTCTTGTACTAAATCTATATTCTTCAGATCTTAAACTTGGTGGACGATTTCCCTAAAATATTTGCTATTCAACTAACCTGGTCTTTGAAAAACATTAGCCACAGGAAAAATAAAACATCCAGTCATTCCCGGAAAGCAATACATCTAGCAATATAAATTAAGAGCTTTTTTATGGCCTTTGTCTCAGTAATCCTATTTCTATAAATATGTCATCCAAAATACAGTACCTATGAGAAAAACCTACTTCTAGAGTTGCTTTATATTTTGAAAAATCCTATTCAGCAACAGAAAACATTGAAATTAATTGCAATACAAATAACAGAATATTACACTACTTAAAACAATGCTGGTCAAATTTTCTAAGTAGGATAAGAAAATAGTTACAAAAAAGTAATTAAGACATAAAATTATACATACAATAGTACAGCTATTAAACATCAGATCTTTGATTAAACCCACACAGGGTTGCTAAAACAAAATCTTTACAAAACAAAGTAGCCTTTGAAAATTCTCAGTGGAATGTAGACTTGGAAGAATTTTCTCAGTACAAATCAGTTATCAGTAGAATAAGACGGCAGTTAAGACTGGGAAGAGAAAATGCATGGGGCCCGAGGGTTAAGAAGAATCTGTTTTAGAGAAATGAAGTAGGGGTCCAAATGGAGAAAAGAGAAAAAACCTAAATTACAGTACGTAAGATCCTTGATTAGACAACGCATGGAAAATACAATCCTACTTGGTGGAGTTCCTCCCAGGGAACTACCGGCTATGACAAAGAAACCAAACGCACACGAGGATACATGTAAGCCTGTCAAACAAAATATTCACAGAGCCACTGTTTAAAGATGAAAAACCATCTTATAAAATCCAAGTTCCAGGAAAAAAAAAACAAAAACAAAAAACACTTCTTGGACATAAATATAAATACACACAGAATATAGATTTTGCAACAGAAGAAAGAAAAAAAGAAGTTAATTTCCTGCTCAAGCAATGCACTGAAAATATATACAGAACTCTGACTTTCCCTCCATTCAAACTTGTGTGGAGACAGATCACATTAGGAAGTTCTTGATTGCTATCACTATTTTTAAAAAATTTTTTGTCCCAAAATGTCACGTTTTCTACAAAAGAAAAATGGAGAGCAAAATAAGATAGAAAACGTTTTTTTCCTTTTATTGATACTTAAAGTTTGAATGAAACATTTTGATTTTTTTTAGAATCTTCTATAACTAATAAATCAATTTTCTATTCAAATTTACTATTTTTAATGGAATTTATCTACTACACAATTATTTAAACTCTGAATGAATCTGGGGCCAGCACCATGACACAGCAGTAATGGACCACTCAAGAGAAGCTGGATCCCGCATGACAACTGTGGTTTGAATCCCCAGCCCAGTCAGCCAGGAATATGCAGGGCATACATGCAAGTGCCCAAGATCCAAGAAGCTAGAAGACAGAAGAAAGGGGATCATGAAGTGGCCAGACCCCATGGAAAGTATTCCTCTCTCTCTCCCCAGTGTGTGATATACACATGCAAGTTTTTATCATGAATACAGAAAAAAAAATTGGGGGATGAATTTAAATTATACCTTTATTTTCCTTTTACCTTTAAATGGTAGGCTGCATTCATTTTATACTCCACTTTGATAGGTGTTTACATATCTTTTTATTTGTTTTCTAGAGGTTTTTGCTATAGGGCATGTGCACTTGCAAGAAAGACAGAGAGACAGAAAGAGAGAAATCACTCCCAGGGGTAATGGCCATGCCACAATCCCTTCTCCTCCATTCTCCTCTCGGGATCTTGGGCATGCACACACACGCGCCTGGCGTGAGTTTAAGCCACCAGGTCTGGGACTTGAACCATGATCGACTACATGGGAGTCCAGCAACATAGCCATTATGCTAACTGCTGGTCCCAACATATCTTTATAATATCTAATTATATTTAATTATCGTCTTTCAAATATCAAATTATAATTTGAAACTATAAAATAGTAAAAGAACAGAAAAAGACACACCATGTAAACATGAATCCTAAGTAAACTGGCAATGGTAATTTCGGACAAAGTAGACTTTAAGAAAAGGAATATTAGGACCAGCAGATGGCATAATGGTTACATTGCTGGGCTCCCACGCATGGCTTATTATGGTTCGTGTCCTGGATCTGGCAGTTTGAAACTCATGCCAGGAACGTGTGTGTGCCCAAAATCTTGGGAGAAGAATGGAGAAGGGATTGCAACGTGGCCATCCCCACCCCACCCCGGGGGGGGGGGGATTCCACCGACCCCCCCCCCCCCCCGGGGGGGGGGGTGATTTCTCACTTTCTGTCTCTTTGGCGAGCTCATGTGCCCTATAGCAAAAAAAAAAAATTTAAAAGACATAAAAAAATAAATAAATAAACCTCCCTTAAAAATAACAACAATAATAATAAAACAAGGAATATTGCCAGATATAAAGACAGATACTTCATAATAATAAAAGTCAATTTATAGGACATAAAAATCTTAAAAGTATGCATACTCCTAACATCAAAGCCTCAAAATTTGATAAAATCAAGTAACTACATTTATTGTTAACATTTAACAATTACTATAAATAAGAATTTGCTCATGTATAATCAGAATAAGAATCCTTAACAGACTTCCCTCATAACAAAAACCCAGTGATGACAGGGGAGATATAAGCAATCACAGATTTCACTGACATTTATGGAATGCTTCATCCCAAACTGCGGAATACACATTCTTCTCAAGTACTATTAGGACATTCGCCAATGTCCTGGACAATAAAAGAAATCAAAATCAATTTCAAAAGACTAAAACCATAGGGTATGTGTTCTGATAAAAACGACCAACCAAGTACAATCTGGAAAATCCCCTCAACATACGGAAATTCAGCAAGATACTGCTAAACAGCCCATGGGATGAACAAAATCACAAGGGAAACCAGAAGCTATTTTGAAATGCAAGATAATGAAAATAGCACCTCTTCTCTATTTTAGGTTCTGTTCTCTAAAAGCAGGTCTTGAGACAAAAAGTCACATGTCTGATTTATTAAGGTAGCGCTTCCTTCCGTGGAGGAAGAGGCAGAAAAGAAAGGAAGCTAGGGAAGGGTTCAATCTCAGGTAAAATCCCAGAGAGGGGTAGCTGTGGCCTATTCCCATAAGAAATGCTGGATGTGAATTTCACCACCCATTTCTCT